GACTCTCTTCCTAATAGACCTACCTTACCAGAAATATTAAAGGGACTCCTACAGTCTGAAATGAACACCAGTCCGTAACGTGAATCCCTTTGAAGAGCTAAAGAGCACCAGTGAAAGTAACTACGTAGGTGAATATGAAAATGTATGCATATATTTCTTTCTCCTATAGGTTTTGAAAGACAATTGTACTCATTATAATAATAACAGCAGAAAGGAGAGTGATGGATCTATAAAGAATCAAAATTTCTGTACACTATTAAAATTAAATTGGCATCAATATGCGTTAGATTGTTATAGTTAGGATGTTATTTGTACTCTCAATGAGAGGTGCTTAAAAAACCCTAAATAGATACAGATATAGTGGAAGCAATAGCAACAGAATTAAAAGGATACACTAGAAAATACCTGTTTGACACAAAAAAAGCAACAGTCGAGGAGTAAAGAAACAACAACACAAGACATGGCTGAGAGGAGAAAGGGATAAGAAGTAGCCACTGACAGGTACAGGGCTCGGTGAGGATGAAAGTGGTCTGAATTATTCAGTGGTGACATTGACACAACCCTGTCAGTCTAGAACAAAGTGGCAGGAGTGAATCCCACCTATCAATGTTACACTCGGTATACATGGAGTGAACTCTGCAATTGAAAAGAAGAGAATGGGGAAATGAATTCAAAAGGAAAAGATCCCATTTCAGGCTGACTTGGAGGAGCATGTTAACTTCTAACACCCCAATAGGTTGCACCTTCGAGGGTGCTAAGAGGTTTGTCAGGCAAACAGTGGCCATAAGAAGCTAGAGGGGTTACGCGAACATTCCACAAGATAGATGGTGGGACAAGTAGTGGCTGCAGCACCTTTCCTCGTAAACTTGCGGTCAATTCCACCCGAGAGGATGAGAAATTTATATCTACCCACAGCTTGTATATGAATGTTGATAGCTGCCTTATTTACAACAGACGGAGGGGGTAAACAACCCAGTACCCGTCAATGGATGAATGGATACACAAACCGTGGTCTGTTCATTCCCTGGAATAGTACCCAGCTGCAGAAAGGAATGAAGTTCAGACACATGTTATAACACAGATGCGAGGTGCGTGAAGAAGTCATTCGCAGAGACAACCTGTTGAGTGATTTTGTTTACAAGAAATGGCTAGAATAAACGGATCCATGGATGGATACAGAGCGCAGGTTGAGGTTGCCAGGGGCGGGGAGAAGAAAGGGGTAAGACGTGACCCCTAACGGGTGCAGGGCTTGGCGGTTGTGAGAATGTTCTGGAATTGTTTGGTGATGACAGTGGCTCCTCCCTGAGGATGCAGTAGACACCGCAAACCGTACGCATTCTCACAACAATGCCAACGGCATGCAGACTCTATGCCAACTCGCTTCAAAAGAAGGCAAAGGACGGGGAAGGAAAATAAATCATGACCACGCGCTGACAAACCCAAAGTAATTTCGTCTGGTGGGAATTTTTTTAAACCGAGTCAGCTCATTTTCATTTCTATTCAGTACTAAAATGATCAGCACGGAGTTTAATTGATGAGCACGGAAACTCTTCCACCGTTTTTATGACTTCTCCTAACCGTGTACACACGTTTGACAATTCCAACAAACAAGAAGGTTTGGATGGGGCAATGAAACAATTACCAGCAAATCTCTTCACGCCTTATCCTCGGTGACAAGAAACAAAGCAGACACGTGCGACGACGGTCCAATTCGGCTGACACCTGGGTTTTCTTCACTTCATTAGCTTTTCTCCGAGTCATACATAATCTACCTACTTCCTTTCTCTTATCAGCAAAGAGAGATGATTGATCAGACAGGGGGGGGGGAGCTAGTAGAGGCAAAATATTTACTTCACAGTTTCTCTTGAGCTCAGTGTTCCCGCCTCATGGAGTGCCACACTTGTGACGTCCACATTTTTCTTGATGGGAGAAGGGATGGAGAGTCTAAACACAGGTCCTGTGTGAGCCGCGAGTCTAGAGCGCGTGCTGACCTTTAAGGCTGCCTTTTCTCACCGCTGGTCCCCGAACCTGGATGCCGACCCGGCCGCACACCCTGGGGAAGACACGGCGACTTTCTCTGAGGTCTGACAGAGGCAGGATGTCACAGTCTTTTCTCAGAGGGTCTTTCTTCTGCGGACAAACAGGTGCCAGGTGTGAAAGCCCACATCCCAGGGGCGTGGCCCCTGTATCATCGATACATCTAGACAATGGACCCTCAGGAGCAGACTAACAACCCAAACAAAAACCAAACCCGCTGGCATGGAGTCAGTGCGGACTCACGGCAACCCTATGGGACAGAGGAGAACTGCTCCTGTGGGCTTCCCAGGTTCTAAACCTTTATTGGGGCAGAAAGCCTCATCTTTGTCTCCACAGAGGGGCCAGTGGTTTTGAACTGCTGACTTTATTGTTAGCAGCCCGATGCATAACCCACTATACAACCAGGGAGCCTTCCATAGGCAAGAGATGGTTGCCCTCCCAAAAAGAGCGTGCTGCCATTGCTTGTGGCCAACCTATAATAAAGCGGACAGCACGTGCGTGTGTACCCTTAGCCAAGCCTGAGATCCCTTGAATGTGCTATCCATCTGTTGATGCTAAACCTAGATTTTAGATGCCAGATTTTAGGCTCCCCTGGTGGCCTTCCAGCCAACGATGGGTCTGTAGCTTTTAGTAGGAACTCAACGATGCAAAATGTTCCCTTCCTCCCTGTGGGACGGACCAGTCGTGTTCGCTCTGGGAAGGTGGACGTCTTCCCTGTCCATCCACCTCTATCCCTGGAGAGAACTCCGTGGCTTGCCTTGCTCTGGGACAGTACGCACTCAGCAAGCTGGCACCAGGCGCGATCTCAGGCAACTGGTAAGATGTCAGAAGAAAGGAATCGCCTTTGGTCATGGCCTTAAGCCTTTAGAGAAGCAAGTGCCCCCTGAGCATATAGGAGTTGTCGAGGAGTGAGCACTACGGGCTTAGGGGACCACCCACAGAGCAACGCCGGCTCACGGAGTCAGCATGCTAACAAAGCACGGCGTCTTGACTGTAGGCTGTTTGCCAAGAGATGGAAGAACCTAGTTTTCCTGAAATCTGAGAGTCCTTCCTCCTGCCTATTAGGGTGCACAGAGCCCTGGTGGCATAGTGGTTAAGCATTGGACTGGGATCCACAAGGTCAGCAGTTCAAAATCACCACCCTCTCCCTGGGGAGAAAGACAGAGGGCTTTCTACTCCCATGAAGAGTTACAGGGGGAGCACTAGAACTGGTGGTGATTACACAACCCATTTTAAAAGTAATTTTACCATGGTGGGGGGCAGGTGTGGAGAAAATGTTCTAAAATTGATTTTGTAATGATTGTGTGTTAGGTGGATGTATTGAGAGAGAGAGAGATTTGCTGTCTCAGAAACCCAAAGGGGCAGTTCTACCCTGTCCTGCAGGGTCACTATGAGTCAGTGCCGGCTCGATGGCCCGGAGTGAATCCAAGCACAAATGTCCTTCGGGAGGCTTGCTGGGGGTTGGAGGAAGGAAGAGAGATGGCCAGAACTGGAGTTCTCACAACTGTACCTCGTAAAGGGGCTTGTTTTACAAGTCATTAAGAGGTCACGCAAATGCTGACTCTAAATTAGTTCTTTTCCGACTATATTTTCATTTTAGCCAAAGGTTTCAAAGAGGACAAAATGGGTCACAGAGGTGGGTCTGATGAGCATTAATGAGAGAAAATGCTTCTAATCTCAACTCTGAAACAGGATATTGGGGAAGGTGAGCTGACATCTGCTGTGGATGGATGATGGATGATTGACAGATGGATGAATGGGTGGTGAAGAAACAGACGGATGATGGACGAAGAAATGGATGAGGAGAGGAAAAGCGTGGGAAGAACACTTCACATCTCTCACCACTCCACGATCTACCGTCAACTCGGACGGACCTTGAGGAGGTTTGAGAAGAACTGAAACTTGGGGGATTTACTCTGAAACTGGAGGCCCCGAAGGGAATTTAAGCTTCATAACAAGTTCTAAGGGATTGTCATTTCATTCTACCGTGTGTTGCTGCCCTGAATTTTTCGCCAGAAAGCATTGGGCTGCCGTGGGTCTCTGCTGAACTGAGCTTTTTGTGTGGACGATGTCTTCTGTTGCCATAGTGCTCGCCGTGAAAAGAATACTTTTTTCCCATATTCCATCTGCCTTCAGCCAAGACCAGTCAAACGCCCAAGAAGGAAAAGAGACTCCCACTGATGCAAGAGAACGTCTTACCTTGTTTGTCCTTTGTTCTGGCTGCAGGGCCCGTGGCTCCTCTTCACCACGGCCAAGTCCTCCCCGGAAGCCGGAGCATTGCAGGCCTCTCGGAGCTCTGGATTTACCTGCCAGGAGTGTGGGCCTCCCGTCTTAGCCTTCCCGTTCTCCTCTGGTATGTGAACAAGATTGTTTGAGGAACAGCCTTACTTCCTGGGCAAGTGAGTGGCACCTAGGTCACACCCTGTCTCAGCTGCCCTTCAGCCTATCCTTTTTTAAAGGGGAAGGGACACTTTCCCTGGAGACCGGGGCTGTCAAAACAATTGGAGACACAGCATGTGATCTCAGGAAGGCTGGGGAACTTTGGAGAGAGCAGGTGTCTAGGCCAAGGGCAGAGGGAAGTCTTGTCCTTTGAAACATTGTCTTGAAACCATCGCTACATTTAGGACTGAAGGACAAGAGATGGATGATCTACTGACGGCTAGAGTAGGTCTTTCAGGTGGCTGTTGAAAAGGGGCCAGCAGCGGGCAGATGGAGGCCTGGTGGCAGATTGGTGATGTGTTGGACCGCCAACCACAAGGTCAGCGGTTCGAAACCACCAACAGCTGCTCCTGGGGAGGAAGATGGGGTTTTGTCCTCCTGCAAAGAGTGACGGTCTCAGAAACCCACGGGGGCAGTTCTGCCCTGTCCTCTAGGGTCACTGGGAGTTGGCGTTGACTAGGTGACAGGGAGTTTGCATGAGCAGATGGCCTTGGAGCTTTGGCATGGGCTTCCTTGGGTTCCCTATGTTGTTGTTAGGTGTGGCCTCATAGCAGCCCCATGGACAGAAAGAAGAGATGCTGCCCGGGCCTGCCCGTCCTCACAATCATTGCTGTCTGAGCTCAGAGTTGCAGCCACGGTGTTAGCCCATCCCACTGAGGACCTTCTTCATCAGTCACCCTCTACAGAGTGGTCACTCAACACCAGACTGAGTGGCTCTGCATACCTGGGCTTCCAACTCTCTCCCACTCTCCAGAGAGGTGGGAGAGCATGGCCTTCCCGTGGCCATGAGGGAGAGAACTCCCTGCCTGCGGGTTGGCACCCAGAGGAAGGGTCAGAGTTGGGGCCCAAACACAAACGTCTTCTGACTCCAACGTCCCTCTTGCACCCGCCCTGTTCAAGTCAGAAAGCAAGGACCCGTTGAGCACCTCACGGTGCTAGCACGGATGTGGAAGGTGATCTGGCTGTCCCTTTGGGGGCCACAGAGAGGTGGGCACCCCCACCAGCACCAGCCAACCCACAGAGCCCATCCAAAGGTGATTCTGAATCTGGACCCCAAAGAGCTCTCACTCCCCTCCCGTCAATTCTGACTCATAGGGACCCTCTAGGGTGGGATAGGACTTCCCTGTGGGTTTCCCAGACTGTAACTCTTTATGGCTATGTGGCTAATGACTCAACTCAAAACCCACTACACCACCAGGGCTCCTTCTGAATCTGGTTGGTTGGTCCTCGTTTACTAACGAGGAGATTTTGTCCACAAGCTATAGGATCAAAGGACGCTGTCATTTGTAAAGCACTGTGTAAACGCTGACTGCTCTTAACTCCACCAGCAGAGCTGGCTGCCAGAGAGACTTCACCTAGACAGACTCTGCAAACACCAGACTCACGGCCAGCAAGTTGATCCTCAAGGACGGGGTAGACCTGCCCCTGTGGGTTTCCCAGATGGTAACTTTTTGCAGGTGTACAAAGCCTCGTCTTTCTCCAAAGGCGCGGCTGGTGGCATCGAACGGCAGACCTTACAGTTAGCAGCCCAATGTGTAACCACTACGCCACTATGAAGGTGGCTTCAAAAAGTTCATGGGAAAATCCCACTATCTTTCCGCTCCATTTTTCCATGAACTTTTTGAGGCCCCACCCTGGACTCGTAGGATCCTCCCGATCTGGGGGTCCTCGGAAATGGTTCAGGGGCTGACGGGGTCCAGAGAGAAATGGGCGATGCACTATGCAGCCATCTCCTTCTGGACTTTCCTCAACTCTCTGGAACTTTCTGGACCTAGTTCCTCCAGCACCCTGAGCGGGGACAGGAGAGAAGCCCCGGTGATGTCATGTGGTCACGCTTCATTCCACAGGACTTAGCAACGCAGGAAGCCTCCGGGAACCTAATCCACTCTTCCTCCTCGTGGGGTGCGGAGGCCTGGGAAAGTTCCTAAGCTTGTAACCCTAAACCCGGGAGGAAGGGGAGACCAGAGAGCCCGGGAAACCCAGTCCTTCTCGGGGTGCATCCCCGCTCCACCGGGCCTGCTGTCTTCAGTGAGGACCGCCGGGGCTTGTTGTCAGGAAAGGCATCCTCAAGGAAACGTCAAGGACCAACGTGTTTATTTTCTTGAAGACGGAAAGCATTATTGGAAAACATCAACTTAAGGCCACCCTCCCGTCCCCCCTGTGCCGCCGCCGCCGCCGCCACCACACACACACACACACAAGCAGGTCTTAATCATCTTATTATCGGGTCACTGAGAGCCCACACGAGGTCAAGGCACTTGGCTCTGACATGCATGGCACCGTCACAATGAAGCCCAGGGTTCACACGAGGCTTTGTGGGCAGAGTGGCAGAGAGAACAAAGCCCGGCACTGAAGCCTGCACAGCTGCCACCCCAGTGACCCTGGGGAGCCGACTGGCTTCCTTCTTGGGCCCAGGGGGCAGGGGCAAGCAGGGCGGCCACCTGGCCTGACGTTAGTCCTCGGCCGCCCCTTCCAGGATGTGCTTGAAGGAGAAGGGGGAGAACTTGTAGCCGGCCCCGGAGTAGAACTTGTTCTGGAATTCCACCCTGTGGTTAGGGGACAAGACAAAAAGGGGGTCAGCCACTCCAGGAAAATCAAGGGTGGTGCCTCGGGCTCGGCGTTGGGCGGCTAACCAGAAGTTTGGCAGTTCAAGGCCCCAGTCACTCTGCAGGAGGAAGAGGAGGCCATCTTCGCCTGCACAGGTGGACAGCCTCAGAACCCCGCCCCCCCAAGTAGTTCTGTCCCATCCTACAGAGTCCCTGTGAGTCAGGACCCACTCAGGACCCCCAGTGGGCTGTGGGACC